GGGATAATTGGGATGGGAGTGTCAGAGACAGTGCAATTGGCACAGGACAGAGCGGAGTTTAGGGCTGTTGTACATAGGGTCGCTATGAGTCGCAGTTGACTCGATGGCACATAACAACAACAACATCATGGGAATGATAAGTGAGTATTCATAGATACCTAAATCTATACCTTAAAGTACCAAAATGTCTTTTTTGTTAAGTAATCACTGAAGGAAACCTTTCTAAAGCAAGTAATGGGATTTGTCCTTCCAGTTACTATAAACTAACTGCAATGAGAAGTCCCTTCTGCTTTAAACAACTAGCGAAGTTCCTGAAAGATGGCAGAGTTTAGGTGTTCAACTATCAACTCAAAGTCTGTCAGTTCAAATTTACTCTCAGGCACTTGGCAAGAAAGCCTGGGCAATTCAATTTTGAAAGCTCACCAAACCAAAATCCAAAACCATTGTCACTGGGTTGATCCCAATTCAAAGTGATCACATGACAGAGACTGGGCTACTCCACCATTTCCAACTCTGTAATCTAAATGGAAACAGATTGTTTCCTCTTTCACCATGGAAGAGCTGATGGTGTAGACCCATCTGATCTGCAGTTGAAGGCTAACTACTGTACTGTATGTACCTGTACTTTGGAAACCCTAAGAAAGGCAATTCTACTCTGCACAAATAAAAAAATTAAGATAAAGCATGTGAATGAACCTTTTCCAGACATAGACGAAGAGACGATGGAAGACTGTGCACCCTGAGGAAATGAAAACAGAGCTAAGTCCTCAAGTGCCCTGGTTTTATGTCATCAGGCATAGACATATGTGGTCCAAATGTCACGGACCACAGAGCAAACATCTGGACTTGAAACAATGCAGGGTGATCTTACGTAGTTGAACAAACATAACCATTAAGAGAATCTAAAGGAGCTGGAAGCTTTGGGACTGACTTCCAGAGAGCAAACAGACAAACATAAAGTCAGCTCTAGAAATCCACCTCGCAATCCCAAGGAATCTTTGCTCAATATTAAGGATGAAACACCACAGGGTCAGGCAAAGATTGATGGGAAATTGTGTGCTGAAAAGTGCTAGTTATTTAGGTAAAGCTGCTAGTGGGTGGCATGTTGTTGTTTTTGTTGCACCGTAGAGTCAGAACTAACCCACAGCTGACCCTCCAGCGGGCAGGTAGTCACATGGGAGGAGGTTACCCATCCTTCTTCAATAGAGCAGCTGGTGGCCTTGAACCACGTTCCTTCAGGTTTGAAGAGTAGAGTGTATTAATTCAAAGATATATGTGAGCCATAACTTCGCAGAATGGACTGTACCAAATGTCAGCAAACTATGGCCTATGGGCCAACTGTATTCCCTTCATCAACATCTGTAAACAAGAGTGTAGAGGAGCACAGGCAGATCCATTTGTTTGCCTTTTGTCTCTGGTTTTTTCCACTGTACAAAGGCAGAACTGTGTAGTTACAAGAGACTATGTAGATCACACAGCCTAAATATTTACTATCTGGCAAGCAAGTAGCTAATCCCTGAAATAAGCTAAATATTAAAAAAAAAAACAACCTACTGTGACCTGCCATTAAGAACAATAACAACAACAAAAAAGAAGCCTTTATGTATCATACCTAACACAAAAAATCTAAATAATTACCAAAGCAAAGGTCA